ATGATGGTGATGGTGATGGTGATAATGGTGATGGTGATGATGGTTCTGACAGTGATGATGATGGTGATGATTAGTGATGATGATGGTGGTGCTGATGATGGCGATGAAATGCAATCAGGGTAAATCTGAGCTGACCATTACTCATTATTAGTTCTCTAACCTTTACACTGCCTTGGTAGAATTCCCAACGTGAATTTTAACACTATAGTTGGCTGATAGTTGACCTACAGAAGTGCAGAATCCTCAAGGTGAATGATGCCTATGTTTGCCCTAATCAAGTGGTGGTGAACCTCTGCCACATGTGCCACGGCGGTTAGGCGGAGCCCTCTCTGTCAGCATACGAGCCAAGTCGCCCCAGCAGCTGAGCACTGGATTTGTTTTTTCTAAGTTCTCAGTATTCAGGCTTAATTGCAGTGTTGGCATTTTTGATAAATAAGTGGGTTTGGGGTCGCAGTTTGGGTTCTCAATCTCTAAAAGGTTCGCCATCACTGCTCTAGTCAATCCTCACACCCACGGCACTGTCCAGAGCCCAGCCTGCCTCTGTGGGATGCAGTTTCCAGTGCTGGGGCATCAGCTCCCTTCTGAGCCTTTGTCAATTGTTAGAAAGTTGTTCTCTGCTAGTGAGAACAGCTTCTGCTACAACTCCTATCCAGTGGCCTGATTTATTCCTTCCCTCTGGCTTTGTACAGATTAAATTCCCTTCCTCCTCCGGGTGACAGGCAGTTCAAAGATGTGCCAGGCATTTCTTGTGCATACTTCTATCTCAGTCCCTCTGCTCTGTTTTCCACTGCCCCTGAGCACCACCCTGCACCACCCTGAGCCTTTTCTTCTTGAGACCAACGAGTCCACAGACACAACCGCCTGTGCATGGCAGGGTTGGGGAAGCTTGCTTCGGCAGAGAGCAAGGCAGAATTTTCCAATTCCTCACCAGGCGTGGCTGGCGTGGTGTCCTCTCAGTGACTATATGCCAAGTGCAGATGTAAGGGGGCCCTCTCCGGGGTGCTGTTGCCAGATAGGAGCCTGAAAGGTGGCGCTACTTTTTCCGATAGAGCATTTTGGCTCTATGCTGTTGGGTTTCGTTCCTCCAGGGGTCTTCTCCATCCCAGCAAATGACACTTCATCCTTCCAGTTGCACAAGCCGGGTACTTGAGCTGCCTTTACTCCATCTCTTCCCTTCTATCATCCATGTGGGGACCCTCACCAAATCCCAGAGGCTCTTCTTTCAAAGTCTATCCAGAACCCAAGCCTTTCTCCTGTCTCCACCAAGTCGTCCAACTCTCACCTGGATGACTGATCGATCACCTCCTCCCTGGGCTTGCAGCTGTATCCTCTCTGCCCATGACCTCTTTCCAGCATGGCAGCCAGCGAGATCCTATTAAAGACTGGGCCGGGGATTTAGCTCAGTGGTTTCGCCACCTGCTGCGCAAGTGCAAGGACCCGAGTTCAATCCCCGGTACCAAAAAAAAAAAAAAAAAAGATCAGACCCTCCTCTGGGGAAATGCCTCTCCAGTCCCTTTCAGGCTGGAATCTTCGGCCTCAAAAGTCATAGGAAACCCTAGAAGTCAGCCTCCTGTGGACATCCAGACTGCCTTCCCCTCCCTCCTCCTTTCCCTGCAGCCCTGGTAGCCTCCAGATTGACATCAGGCCCATGGCAGTGTGGTGCCCACCTGCACCTCCTTCAGCTGTTTGTCTAAATGTCATCTTCCGAGCAGGTCTCCTTGACAACCTTACTTAAAACTGCAACCAGCAATGGTCCCGTGCACACCTCAACCACATAGTTTATCTCGTGGATTTTGCATCTCTCCAAGCCTCGCAGGCTAGGCGTTGGATGCTCTACTTCATCCCCAGTGATGCTCAATAAACACAGCAGACCTCAGTATACACAGGGAATTTGTTCCAGGGCCTTTCAAACACTAAATTCCACTGATGCCCATGTCCCTTATATAAAATGGTGCAGTATGGAATCTGTACACATCCTTTTGTACACGTTGTTTTTCATTAGTACATTTGTGGTACATAATGTTTACATTTCTTATGGGGAGTTGATACGTGTACATAACACATTTCAATTCTTTTTTCATCTCCTTTCTCTCCCTTCTCCCTCCATTTCTTAGTCCTCTTCCCATTTGAAAACATCCATCTCCCTATTTCCTATCATCTACCTTTGATTTTGCTCTAATTTATACTTTGAGTTTCTTATATAAGAGAAACCATGTGATATTTAAGCATGTGTGTCTGGTTTATTTCACTTAACTTTATGGTCTCAAGGTGCATCCATTGTCCCACAAAGGACTCAACTTTATCTTTCTTTACAGTACAGTAGTACTCCACTGTGTGTAAATAACACATTTCCTTTACCCATTCATCTGTTGATGGGCATATAGGCTGCTTTCAATATTTGGTTATTATGAGTTATGCAGCTATAAACATGGTTATGCACATATCACTGTAATATGATGTCTTTAACTCTTTAGGGAAGATACCTAGAGGAGGAATAGCTGGGTCAAATGGAATTTCTAATTTAGTTTTTGGAGGATTCTCCATACTAATTTCCATAGTGGTGGTATTAGTTTGTATTCCCAATGATGACACAGAAGGTTCCTTTTCCCCTACAGCTTCTCCAGCATTTGTTATTATTTGATTTTTTGATGATGGCCATTCTTTCTGGGGTAAGATGGAATTTCAGTGTTGTTTTAATTTGCATTTCTCTAATGGCCAGTACCTCCTGTATACTTTAAATCTTCTTTAGATGACATCTAATACCTAATATGAGTAGGTGCTATGTCAATCCTTGTGATACCACATTGGTTAGGCAATGACAACAAGACAGAGTCTCTACATGTTTAGGACAGGTGCACTTTGGGGAGATTTTTGATCTGAGGTTGGCTGCCTCTGTGGATGTTAAGCCCTCAGGTATGCCAGGCTGGCTGTATTTGTCCAATGCTTGACTGCACTGTGGGTCTCATGCCAACACTCCACCTGTGTCTTTTGCAGGGAGAATACCAGATTTTGCTGGAACTGTATAATGAAAAACGTGCCACTGTGGCTTGTGCCAATGCCACTGTCATTTGCTCCTGACCTTGGGCTGCAGCAGAAGTGCAGCAAGCTCAGACTCATGGGCATGCCAGAGTCCACAGGTGCACCCTACTTTGGAAGAAGAGCCAGCTGGTGACAGCGAGGAGCTCTGCGAAGAGGCCTCCCAACAAGTCCAGCTGCGAATTTCAACTCCAGGTCAGAGGTGCCAGACGCTGTGGACGGCTCGAAGCCCCCAAAGTCATCTGCCTCTCAGGAGCCCCTCAGTCATCCCTGAGCAGCCTCAGGTGTCCCTGCTTCACTGAAGAGTCGCCCTCCTTCCCTAAGGAGCCGCCCCTCCTCGGCTTTCTCTTCTTCAGGTCCTTAGGAGTGTTTCCCCTCAGGCCCCCAAAATAAAGAATGCAGCCCACACTGGCTTCATGGCTTTCTCAAAGAATCTCAATATAACATTGTAATTAAAAGTCATCTCCTTTTTCTAATAAATTTTATTTTATTCTATCCCATTCTCCCCTCAAGTCCCCTCCCCTTCCTATGTACAAAAGCTTTGTTTCCATTTTTTCTTCTATTTTCACTTTTTTCTTGTCCCCTCCTTCCTTTCTCCCTCCCTCCTCCCTGTTCTCCTTCCCATTTGAACATTTTCTTCCCATTTTCCAACATCCACTATATATTTCAGTCCTTATTTCCACTTTCAGTTTCTCACACTAGAGAAACAATGTGGTATTGAAACATGTATGACCGATTTATTTCACTTATGAGTATGGTCTCCAGGTCCATCTGTTTGGCTATAAATATCTGCAGCTTGCCCTTCTTATGGCAGAGTAGTACTCCATTGTATAAAAAACCACATCTTCTTTATCTGCTCATCAGTTGATGGGCACTTGGGCTGTTCCCAAGCTTTAGCTATCACAAACTGTGCTGCTGTAAACATGGGTGCACATATATCGCTGTGGTATGATTCTTTTATTCTTTCATTTGGGAAGATACCAAGAAGGGGAATAGCTGGGTCAAATGGAACCTCTAGTTTTAGTTTTTTGAGAAATCTCCACACTGATTTCCTCAGTGATGGCACCAGTCTGCACTCCCACCAACAGTGCTCCAGAGGGCCAGGGGTTTAGCTGGGTGGTGCCTCTCCTGCCTTGCAAGCAAGGTCCTGAGTTCAATCCTCAGTACTGAAACAAACAAACAAACAGTGCTCCAGACGTGAGCTCTGGCCTCTGGAGCGGCATAAGCAGGTCTAGGAAAGCCAGGAGGGTGACGCGGTCTGGACTCAGTGCTGCGAAGCTCCACACACTGTGCCCTTGGAGCAGCAGGCCAACATGCCCTCATCATCTCGCTGTGCAAACCCTCACCCACCTCATCTTCCAAGCTATGCACTTTTACGTCACTGTAACACACACACACACACACACACACACACCCGAAATGATGGATTTATAAAGAGAAAAGATTCATCTGGGCTCTCGGTTTTGGAGACTCCATGCTTGGTCAGTCAGTCCCATTGCTTTAGCTGGGGGTGAGGCAGCTCAGCACGGCTGGGTGTGGTGAGCAAAGCCAGGAGTGAGGAGCTTGGAGAGCAGCGGCCCGGGTCCCCCAGCCCCTGAAGACCTCCCCCGGGCCCCACTTCTTAAAGGTCTCATCACTTCCCAAAAGTGCCAGCCCTTAGCACATGGCACTCAGGGGACATCCAGTGTCCAAACCGTAGCATCCCCCGAGCCTGACTTTAGCACCTGACAGCCCACGTTCCTGTGTTCAGTTGAGGAACTGTGAAGGAACACTGAACAGGCCCGGAACTGTCCTCTTAGGATGCAGCAGACACCGCCCCTGCCTCCATGGAGCTGCAAGGCCTTGAGATACTAAGCAGCCACAGTCCGCAGTGCACACATTCACTCCCATGCAGAAACACCTTCTTCAGTGCCTCTGTAAGGGACCAAGTGCCATCCTGTGGCCCGGGCCCTCACCTCAGGAGTCCTCTCTGCCTCTCCACCCACTGGAGATGGCACGGAGGGCTCTGCGTCCCTCCCCAGCCTCGGCCCTGCCCCTGTCTTTCCAGTGTCCCTGGCCCTCCTGCACGTGTAGAGGGCCTGCAGAGCAGTGAGTGGGTCAACTTCAGGCTCTGCCATTGTTATATCCAGAAAAGTGCTGCTACATGAAAGACCACAGGAGGAAAGACAGTTCAGAAACATTAGCTGCTGACGATTCCTGCCTGGGTACCGTTAAACCCCTGGAATAGCTGGGCACAAAGGCCTGCCACCTCAGAACCAGCATCGGAGGTTTTCTGGGTCATAGAAAAACAAAACGATAGCCATGTCCCCACCGAGGCCCACAGCCCTTGGGAGCAAAGGTACCTATGGCCCTGCCAGATCCGGGAGCACATCGGGGATGGCACCATTAGGTGCATGAAGAGCAAGTATCCAACCCTTCGCCATGCCCTCCAGCTCAAGACTTGCCCGCTCCTTCTCCTGCACCTAGGAGAGGCCTTGAGGAGACTGTGTGTGTCACAGGGTCACACACCCCAGCCCCCCTCACCACAGCTGCTCCGGCCTTCCCAGCGCTTGGAACTCAACTGTTCCCTTCCCCCTGCCCTTCTCTTAAACCTGAACTTGAGTGTGTGGGGAGGGGGAGATGCCGATACTAAAAGTTCAGGTGAAATCAGAATTTCCCAAAAAAACACAGAATTTCCATATCTGATTCTGGCCCTTGGCATGGCCAAAAGAATACACGCATACAAAAGAGTTTCACTAAGGACGCGATGTAAGAGAAAAAGAAAAATACTTTCTCTGTTCCCAAAGATATTTTTTCTTAACGTCCTGTCTGGGGCTTTTATCTTCGCCATGTGTCTCACTCCTGCAAGCTGAGAACGTTTTTCAGCGTGTAGGAGTCTTCTGTTAAAACACGATCAGCCCTGGCAGCAGAAAAGGCCAGTCATTATCAGCGTTTAACACCCTGACGGACACAGTCAGGCCTGGCATGGATTTGGCAGTGCCGAGTCGGGGCATAAAGGGGAGCAGACATCCTAAGCCTCGTCTGGGGTGAGTAGAGGTACAGGAATGGAGAGGGCCCCGCCAGTCCATCAAAGAACCCAGATTTATTTGTCTTCTTATAAACAGAGTTCGCTACTGTTTCAAAAATCACCATTAGACACTGCGAAAACCTGTACACAGCAGACTTTCAGGAAGGAAAACCAGAAAAGCCAGTGCGGTTGAGGATGATTCTGTGCCCCAGAACCTAAGAACACTCTGAAGAGTGATCAGCCGGTTCCAATCAGCTCGTTGCCTGCCAGGGTTTCTCTGCGTTTTGAGGGAATGCCAGCCTCCCTGTGTAGATCCTTTCCCCTGTGTTTCTGAAGGATGTTCTGGCACCCACGGGAAACTGGTTGGCAAGGGTCGGAGCAGAATGACGAAGAGCCCTCTGGGATAGAGCGGCCGCACCCCTTACAGTGACAGAGACGTCACCTCAGGCCAGCCTGGATGTACTGGGATGTGGGTGGCCACGTGACTGCTGAGCCACAAGGCAGCTCAGGTATCAGCTAGGGTTCCCCTCGTTTCTCTGCAGTTCTTCCAGCCTGGGCCTCCCTGAATATGTGCTTCACCCTCAACAGCCTTTCCCAGAACAGCGAATCACCTCGGCAGTGGGAGCCCTCACACTCACACTGTCCAAGACACAGAGGAAAATATACACTTTCTCCAAGTTCTTTCCTTAGTCCAGGTTTGCAGTCCATGGTGTCCACCTTCATCTTGGGGAGTGGGTGCATGTCCATAACACAGCCTGTTTCCCTGTTTAGTCCCTTTCCCACTAACCCCTCCCTCCACCCCTCGATCTTCCTCCATTTTCATTCTTGTTGCTGTTATTATTCTTAGCTCATGTTTCTGATATACAGTATTTCCATTAATTGAGGTTATTAATTCCTGTGCATGGCATTTAATTCTGCTTGTTTCCCCTTCCCCTCACCCTCTCCCTTCCTCCTCAGTCTCCTGGACCCCTTCTCATTTTCAGGAGATCTATCCCTTGTCTTCTTCTAGCCATCCTTTATTATTCTCTTTTTTGAACCTTGTCTCACTCAAATGAGAGATACCATATGGTATTTAAACTTGTGTGACTGGGTTCATTCAACATTTTCCAGATGCATCACTTTCCTACAAATGTCTCAAATTTATCTCTCTTTATAGCTGAATAGTATTTCATTATGTGTAGATACCACATTTTCTTTATCCAGTCATCTTTTGATGAGTATACCAGCTACTTAAAAGGCACACTTTTTTTTTGGTACCAGGGATCAAACTTGAGACGCTTTTATCTCAAAGTCTTGCCATTCATTTTGACTGGAATGGCTTGGGTCACATGACTACTGTTGACCAATCACTTTGGCCCTGCCCCAATTGACTTAACCCAAGTCACATGTCCTACCCCTGCAAATGGATCAGAGTTAGCCCCAGTGGACCCACACACATCCCTAAGTGGAAACTGGGAGAGTTAGAAAAGGATGAGCAGGGAAGAAGGAAAAAGATGCTAAATTCAGCCTGGCCTTTAAGTTATGATTTTCCCTCAGGCGCTCACTGCTCCCTGAGCAATTAATGTATATTACCTAAGCCTCAATTTTCTCACTTTTAAGTTTAACTATAATAATACCTGTCTTGTACCGATGCTCTGAGAATTAATGAAAGCTCACCTGTTGTGTTAGCTTTCTGTCACTGTAACAATATACCTGAGACAATCAATTTAACAAAGGAATAGGTTTATTTTATTTCATTTGGTTCAGAGGTTCCATCCTAGGGTCATTGGTCTCTTTGCTTTGGCTTTTGACAAAACATGGTGGAGGAGGCTGTTCACCTCAGGGGGGCTGGGAAGCAAAAATGAGGGACACACAAAGACCAGAGTCCCACAATCCCCTTCAAGGTTACCCATAACCTAACTTCCCCCCATGAGGCCCCACCTCCCAAAGGATGCACCGTCTCCCACTGTGCCTGACTAGGGCCAGATCTTTACTCATTGTGCATCATCGTGCCCAGCAGTTCTAGATTCCACCCCTCACCCACAAATCCACATTTTGGGGAGGTTTGACATGGTTCCTTGGCTCTTTGATTTCTTCTAAGTATAGTATAGCTGATTTTATTAGCCTTAGGATGGAGGCATGTTCCTTGAGTTATAGTTATAGTTCCTTGACCATAAACTCTGAAAAATATTGAAGGTAAACATTTTTCCCTCAAACAGAAATGTTATAATCAGAACAAAAGGTCCCTTGAAAGAAAAATGTGCGTATTTTTTAAATTAAATCTGTTTCTTGCAAATACAGACAAGCTTACAAGATGTGAAGAACTAAAAGTAACGTCTACAAATTTAATGATTACCTCTGCCTTCAGGAAAAAAAAAAATAGCTAGTGAGAAAATGGAAAGGCCACATCCTGATTCCAA